ATTTATTTATTTATTTATTTATTTATTTATTTATTTATTTATTTATTGTATTTATACCCCGCCTATCTAGTCATTTTGACCACTCGAATTTGGATTTGCCTCTTTTTTTAGCTGGAGAATGAGGGCATGCCTCTTCCCATTTCTGCTTCCATGGAGGAAGAATAGGGACACATTCTTCTCTGCTGCAATACAGTGGAAAATGATGGAAATGTAATGGGAAAGGTACATGTGATTTAACGGAGTGGGTTCTTCTGATCATCTTAATCAATGTTCTTTTGGTTGCATATGGTCTCCCCTCAACTGTCCTGGTGGTATTCTGAACCTTCTCTTTCTCAATATGATCAAAATATTGCAATTCCTATCAGTGCATTTTTGTGTTCCTTTTCAATTTCTGAAAAATATTGACTTGACAAAGGAAAGGACGACTTTGAATTTTGCCGTGACACTGCTTAGAATACAGCAACTTCCATTTCAGGCTAAGCACAAAAATCTTCATTTGGCTGCCTCATCAAGCTGCCAGAGTCAACTTCAGAGCACACATGGGGGGGGGGGGAGAGGGAGGAAGAAATAAACAATTTCCCAAAACATTATGTTCTGTGATAATGTCACAATTGGCACCCACCATCAGAACACAGAAAGCTGTCAACAAACTCAGACACATCGATGAGACTCATGTAGATGAGCCTGGCCTCCTGCTATTTCAGCTTTGCTGAAGTGTCCAGAATCATCAATGTGAAAATCAGTTTAATATCAATTCCCCAGAAATAAATTGTCACCAGCAGTAATATTACTCAGGGTTGTTTTCATCCTTTTTCTAACAGACTGCTAAAAACAAATGACATGGATAAAATAGAAATTGCAGACAAGATTGCAGCAAAGCACATGTTATTGGAAGAGAAAATGTCAGGGAAATGAAAAAAATGAAAATTACCTGTGCAGAGATTTTCTTCATTGCACAGCTCCCCCAATTTCCAAAATGGAGTCCATTTGCTGTTTTTATTTTATTTCCCTTTGTGTTGCTATCCTCATCAGATTGTTCAAAGGTATTTCTTTTACCTCCCCCAACGTGGACCTGGTTGGAAAAGAAAAATGTTACAACAGTCAATTTCTTGAATAATCTCCTTAAAAAATATTGATGAACTCCCAACACTTCATGATTTAGACACAAAATAGCATACAATACACACTCTCTTTAAAAAAAAAAAGCAGATTGTAGTACTGAATTGGCAGATTTAGGAGGAGATCATAGGAATTTCTAAAAAGATAGCTATTTCTTCCCGGTGATGGAGGGAAAGAGATTGAAAACAACCGGCGTATCTAACATTGAAGCAGTTGATTGATCAAAATCAGAGTTCTGAAGTAACATGTTAAAAAATAACTTGGTTATCATTGCTCACTGCATTTCAGAATCGCAACGATCAACACAGTTCCTTTCTAATAGCACTGTAATGATCACAAATTCCTGAGGTTTTACACGGAGTGTCATTATTGTTATAGCTAGATAACACAAGCTAAAGCCCTAAAAGCAAAGGTCTAGTACTGTGACACTATTCTCCAATCTCTTCCACTTTTACAGTCATGTGAAAAGGACTGGGCCATTTCAGCTACTTCTTATGAGGAGGAAATAGTGGAGATGGGGATGAAATAGCAAAGGAAGGGGCACTTGTGCTGCTCTTAACTTAAAAGAAGGAGTCCCCATCCCCATATCATTCAAGCATTCAAATATAGAAATGTGGCCCAGGTCTTCAACATCATACACTATAAAACCAGGCATTAAGCATGTTGTTGCCTCAGTATACCTAGCATTATATCACAGCAAATGTGGGATCTGCTGTATCATTGCAGTTAATACTTTTCATGATCAGTGTGTAAAAATTATGTCATTAATCAATATTTTGTGTTCAGGTAATAATTCTCCCTTAGTGGAGATTGCTCATCAAAGCCAATTTCTTTCTTGTGAGATAAATTCAAAATATCAGGTCAAAACAGTGGTAATTAAAAATACTAAACCTGTTGCTTACTTCTATTTATTCTTTAAAATATATCATCAAACTTTCGTTAATATTAATGGAAGCTATGACAGACATTATGTCAGAAAAGCCTAGGAAGATCGTTTTCAAACTTTCCATATGGTTTTATTAAATTTCAAATGAGTTCCATATCTTTTATTACTTGAACCTTCAAGAAGAAGGTTAGTACGTACTATCTCTGAGAATTGCATCCAGTAAAGAACAAGAAAGGAAATATTTCCAGGCAAGATCAGGTATTATTTATTTATTCTATATCACAGTAAGCTATTAAAAGCCACTATCTGGATGATATTTGTCCTTGTCTTTTCTTTTCAAGAATGACAAGATAATAACTGAAAATGCCCTGCTATTTGGATCAAAACACAGTACTCCGAAATTTGTTCCTGACCAATAGCCGCTGCAATGGACAATGAAGAACTATGGTCATCTTTCACATCAACCTACATGGGGGTGAAAAGTATTTCAAGAAGATAAAATTACTTCTGTCCAGACATTTCCCTGGGCTAAAGATTGACAGGTTACCCATCTGTAATTGTAGTTCTTCGAGTGGACCTCTGTGATTCACACACTGGGTGATCCATGCCTGTGCAAAGCCTCATCGGAAAGTTCTAGAGCTTTTGTGGTAGCAAAAACACATTAGAATAAGGGCCTCCACCCTTATATAAGTACCTTGGTGCCAAGGCTCCCCTTTCAGTTGTATCAACCACCACTACATTAAGCAGAATGGCGTGATAGTGGGGACGATGGGTGGGATGTGTGAATCACAGAGGTCCACTCGAAGAACTACAATTACAGGTGGGTCACCTGTCGTTCTTCTTCGTGGCCTCTGTGAATCACACCCTGGGTGACTAAAAGGCTTTCTTACCCAGAGGCAGGGGGTCACGCCAAGATAGAGTCTAGAAGGCCATGTCAGATCAAGTCTATAATGCTGGATGAAAGTGGACAGCGGTGCCCAGATGGCAGAGACACAGATGTCTGGTAGAGGTACACCACGTAGGAATGCCATAGAGGTTGCTACTGCTCTGGTGGAGTGAGGGTGAATCACCTTTGGGACTGGTTTGCGTGCCAGCTGATATGCGACGTGAATGGTTGAAGTGACCCATCTAGATATAGTTTGAGACATCACCTTGCAATCTTTAGTAGGTGGTTGTTGACTTATGAAAAGTCGAGGTGAATGCCTGAAAGGTTGGGTGCGTTGGACATAAAAGGCAGTGTTTACTTTAGACACCTAACGTCTAGAGTATAGCGGATTCTTTCTTGAGTTGTGGACGGTGACGGCCTAACGTCTAGAGTATAGAGGATTCTTTCTTGAGTTGTGGACGGTGACGAGAAGAAGGAAGGAAGGATAAACAGCTGAGAGAGATGGAACTGAGATACAAGTTTGGGGAGGAAAGAAATATCCATGGATAGTATGACTTTGTCTGAAAAAAAAAAACTGTAAATAAGGATAGTCGTGGCATAAGGCCACTAAATCAGTAGCTCGTTGAGCTGAGGTGATGGCGAAGAGGAAAACTGTTTTAAAGGTAAGTAGCCATAAATCAGTGGATTGTGAGGATTTGACAAAAATAGTTTGGAGCTGGTTGTTTTTGAAGAAATAGAGCTCCAGGATAATGGACTCTGTAGAGGTTATTGATTCATTTAGACATGGTATGGGAAGTGGCTGGTTTTGTCCAGGATCCTTGAGCGGTACTGAGTAGAGACGGAAGCATCGAGATGTGTACTGGAGTAGTATCTTTAGAGATTGGGCCATATAGATGATCGGCTAGTTCTGTCAAAGGACGGTGGATTTGGAGATTGAGAGACTTAGCTATACGGATCATAAGTTGGGCGTAATTTTGGATGTCTTCCACCGGTGATGGTGGATCGTCATCAACAAGGTTGGATTTCAGTGAGGTAAGTAATACTGATGGCGTCTGAGGTCTGCATCTGTGATTGGAATAATCGGGATCGTGCCAGGAGTCAACAGATTGTCGATCGATTTTGGTGTCAATAGGTTGAGTGCCATAGTATTGACATTTGTGGCTCAATGTTGATGGAAGCAGCATGTCCATGGGCATTTGTTGTTGTCGAGGATTTTTTATATAGAGAGATGTCATCTGAGTGTCCATGGATGTCATTTGATATGGTTGAACATTAAACTTGGGGTCATAGTGATCTCGAGTTCAATGGCTTGGTTCTATCGGGCAATGGAAATCGTGCATCGATAGAGGGACAAAACGATTGTCCATGGACCAGGATGGATATTGAGGATCATCGATATCAGAGCCTGTGTCTCAGTGATGTCAAAACAGAGGTCATTGACCAGCTGGTAAAGCAGCGGAGTATATAGATGCTGGAGATGCTGATTGAGAGGAATGGTTTCCCTCATCTGGATTAGCAGGAAAATATTGGGAGGCTGCAGCTGTAAAAGCCTTGCATGTAGAAGAAATTTGGTTGACTGTCCTGGGTCTTTTAGGTGCCAGGTAGGGGGCAGGTTGGAGTTCATGTGGGTCCACCATGCGAAGGTATGGCCAAGCTGGATAGAGCAACTGGCTGATTGGCGGTTGCAGTTTGTCTGGTCGAGCACTGGTCAGGGTAAATAGCAACCTGATGAGAGTGCTGAACGCCATGCATGATGAGCCATGCATGATGAAATAGATGGATTTAGGGACTGTTGGGGCCGATGTCTCTGAGGAGGACAATCAGATGTTACCAAATAAGGTATGGTCTCTAGTTGTTGTTCAGAGTTGACTCTGTCAGCTGAAGCAACTACAGAAGGGTTGCTCAAAAGAACAGAGCGTTGAGGACTAGGAGGAGAAGATGTTAATCAATCGACTCTGGCATCCCATTCCAATGATTGGGAGCAGGATTGGTGAGAGGGGATTCCATCATCGTCAGAAGGGGAACAAATAGAGATTGATTTGGTGGTTTGTTGAGGCTGCTGAGGAATGATTGCATCTTTAGATTTATGCTGTTTAGGTCTTTACGTGAAAATGCTCTGGAATCGAAGAGGCTTCGGTGGACATTTGATGTTTAGTGGAGGGATTAGATATCAAGGATTTCGGTATCAAACACTTCAATTTATGGGTTTTTGAAGTTTTAGATGAAGTGGATGGAGCGTTGGAGTGGGATGGTGTATTCAATGCATGTTGTTTTGAGGCTTCAGAAAGAGCCTTCTCCATTGCTTTGGTTTGTGAGGTGGCCTTACAAGGAGGTTGGGCCATTTTGGTTGGTTGAAGGGATTGTTCCCAAAGATGGAGTTTTAATCTGGATAAGGGAGAATGAAGGAGTCCATGCTTGAAGTTCTTACAATGCTGGCAGGAGGACGTCTGGTATGCCTCTCCCAAGCAAAAAAGACACTTGGCGTGGCTGTCGGAGAGTGGTATTTTGTTATCACAGGCCACATAGTGTTTAAATGGGCCCAAAGGGGCCATGAATAGAAAATAATTTGAGGAGAAAAAAACATGATTGAGGGGGTGCTGCTTTGGCCGGAGGCCGTGCGAGGTAGAAAGGAAAAAAATCTGTGGTGATAATGAATTTGATCTAAAAGTTTAAAGGAAAAAAGCTTGATAACAGGAAGGAATCAAAAATAATCTCTTTTTCTTTTACTCACAGAAACAGAACTATGAGGCTCTCAACGCGGTGGCTGAAAGAAACTCAAAGGGGAGCCTTGGCACCAAGGTACTTATATGAGGTGAGAGGGGCCTTATTCTAATGTGTTTTTTGTTACAGCAGAATCTCTAGAACTTTCCAATGAGGTTCTGCGCAGGCGCGGATCACCCAGCGTGTGATTCACAGAGGCCATGAGGAAGAACTACCTTTGTGCTTGATACCAGGATTCCACACAGATCCTCAAACAAGCAGAAAGCTAAATCAAAGTCTGGGTTTCTGCATTCAAAATGCAGTGTCTCCATCCCATGTTATATTATGGATGCAATGAGCAGCACTGTGCAACTGTTTCTTCACTGAAGAAAGTAATTATTTCCATTACTCACTATATTTGGACTACAAGATGTCATTACTCCTACTTCATCTGCAGGAGTACTGCATTCCCATTTGCACA